TCACTCCATAACACTCTTTACCACTCGCTCATAAGTTCCAAAATCGAATAACGAAGCTATAACCAGCTCTTGGCCAATCAGCTGGTAAGTAGGACAATCCAATGGTTTTATGGACCCTCCAGAGCCTCGCAAGGTCCTCCTTAAACGCCGCTTCGGTCAATAATTTCTTTTGTTGGCCTTTAAGATTCGTGTCACTAATTAACACATTTCTTTTTTTATATTCTGAATGGAAACAGTAACTCGAGCTTTTTATATTAATTTACATAATGATTTGCAACATTTTTGTCTTGATACAGGTAGAAAGTACTTCATCGGGTTAATCACTTTCAAGAGTATGTGAGAAAGTTTCTCTTCTTTATGTCGCAATTATGTGTATAATAGAATGTGCTACACGATTTCCACATCACAATCGAGTTAAGCTTCGCAAAAGCGAACATCCACTTTTGGCGACTTTGTTAACTTTTTTAATTATACAGTTTTTATGGTTCAATTATTTACAAGTTCTCCCTTAAAAGTTTATAGTCATCTTAGATACAAACAACAAAATAAGATGTTAATATGCGTTGGTAATGTCATATTTAATTACACTCCAATTTCAGATGTTTACGTATCCGTAAAAACTGACACAAGTAGCTATACAAAACATAAAAACAAAACAAGTCCAAATTTAAATTGACATTAGCAACATATCAATTTTAATTATGTCCATTTTAACAAATAAAACAACGTATTACAAAGTCAAACATATTGTTCCGCATACATTATGCACTTGAGAAATGTCAAAAATGCCCTAAAAACCCGATACTATCCCGACTTACACTCGGCAACGCAACTATTACTCAAACTACATTTAACTTAAAGAAATACAAGCTTTAAAATATATGCCTTTAGAACTACAATCGTATAAACGTGCGGAAATGTGACAGGATGACCTGTGTACCCAGGTGTACGGTAATACGTGAAGAGCACAATTTCGGCGTCATACAACTTGATACCGTTGCCTACAAGAAAGTAGTTACTGAGAAAAAGAGTAAACAGTAACAGATAATCCCTCGCAAGTTTGTTTTTTCGTATTTCTTAAAAATCTTAATAGCGGCTGAGTTCTGAAACGAATCTAACATAGCTTGGTAAACGAAGTCGGAATTTTAAAACAATTTGGAGACTATTATTATTTATTAATATTTTGTCGTAACAATATTATAAACATAATTGATTGAAAACCGAATTTACATTTTTAAACCGAGTTTTCATTACTGAAACACAAACAAGGTCTTTTTTCACAGTATATGTGTGCGATATATCTATAGTCAATACCTTATTTTCTTTAAATTAATGTCAGTCGATATTATTAAAAAAATCATTAAACTCTAAAGATCTTGTGCAGTTTCTGTATAGAATGTGCAAACTTTAACACTCTGACATATACCTTGTTTTTGTACCGCTCCGGTGGTAAGAAGGTTAATGTATTTGACGAGTATGTAAGTGTTTTAATGAATTTTTATCTATACAAATGTTATTTTAAGACACTATAGTTCATTTAATAATTAAAGAAATGTCTTTATAAGTAATACATTTTAAGATAAATAATAAATTTAGGGTCAGGATTAAATATTTTTAAGCAAATTCAAAATATGAACACTCAATAATTGAATCTATTCCGCGATCAATAACCTTTTCTGTCAAAAATGTATCGTATGTATTGGCACCGTATTACTTGACAAATATAGAATTTCAACGATAATTATGGTTTGTTACGGTAGCTTTATTGGGGTATAACACCAATTGCGGCTTCGAGCAGACCAATGCGTTTTTAGTTCATACATAAACCGCAAAACGCCGCTGTCCGAAAATACAACGAAATGTTCATAAAAATGTTCCACCGCTTCAGAAACTAGATCGCTAATTTACGGTAAATTCAGCCGTTATCCGACTTCTGATAGAGCCAATTTACATTAATTAGATATGTTTAATTTATAATTAAATAGTTTTACTATTCATGATTTATGCATTATTTAAAATTAATGTTTATTTCCATTCAACACTGGATACTTTTATTATATCAAGAACAACAAAAAAAAAACAAATTTTTTATCCACTAGTATTTATTTTTACTTAACTGTGTTTTATTGAGTAACTAAATTAAAAAAAAATCACTTAGTTTCAACGGGCTTAGTATTACATCCCTTTGGTTACTTATGCTAATAAGTAACCCTTTTCTTGAAAACAACTATTGTAGATGAAACAATACGTCCATGTGACTTACTGCCTCAAATATAATAAACCTTTTCTTGTTACCCTACAAAAACATTTTTTTTACAATTTACATGGCTATCGTTTTGTAATCATTGGTATACAGACAAAATTGCGTGATCTGGTTCGTAACATTTCACTTAAAATTTGTTATAACTTGTTAAGTTAGGAAATGATATGTAAATAGGAATACAGTAATCGAAAACGAATAAAATTTATCTCATCATAACATTAAATGTATGACATTACCTCGATATGAATTCGTTGAAAAGTCAATTCATCAGCAGTTAACCCGAACATCCACGTACACTGTCCAACACAGATGAGGCACGGCGCATTAAATCGGCACGCATTAATCATTGTAATCCACTTCGGAATAAGAGCGAAATTAGCATGAAGCGGGCGCATAAAGTGGTGCAATGGGTCGTGTCGTTCGTACCGGTAATATTTCGCTCGTAATTACTCGTTATCCAGCACCGTTGTATGGTGCCATACATCAAATGTAACACATTGTGCGGTAGCCCGTCATTATCAAGATGGATGGCTCGCGAATCGTTCTCCTATACACTACTCCGGGTTGCCGAACGAACACATTTAGCGGATTGAGAGAGGACCGCTCGCAGTGCCTAAGCCACTATTCTTTAGTTTTGAAGACATTATTTTTCTACGATTGCAAATTAGTGGAAAAGTCTGCTTCTCTCAAAATGTGTGTTAGTAAAGTATAACTAATAATATGCCTAATTTTCCTTCCCCGCCTATTCTTTTAATTTGTCCCACACAATGCTTAGAGGCTACGAATTCGGTTGCTAGCTAACGCTGGCGACACACTGCCCTACTTCCGATCGCAGTCTGGTCCGATCCTTTGTGTCTCTGAGCTCCTCTTTGTTCTACATGAGGAAAATAATTCGCTAAACACGATACCAACGTGTTTGACATGTTTTATTAGTTCATGTCTTTTTATTTAGCATTGTTTGACAGGTATTGTCTATTTCATGTTCCATTTTTTATTCAGGTATTAATAGCACTAGGAATATCTTCTACAGAATGAAAAGATTATACCTAAATACTACCTCAATATCATTCCACACTGTTTGACAGGATGTCATCTTATCCTCGCTTTTTCCTTAGAGGGTTGGCTTACGTAGATACTTACTACTCAGCATATGTGAATGTTCGCACTACCTAGAAATATTCTCTTGGATGGTTTCTTTCTTTCATACTTTCCGTCTTCCTGTACTATGTCAAGGAAGAGTAAAATTTTAAACTTAATGGATGTTCTGATAAACGTTTTATAAGAAATCTATGTATCCACGTGCGAATACGTTATGTGCCGTTACATGAGGCGTGGTTGCACAATATGTCGTCATGCGCCGCCAGGGGTCGCTGTTCGACTCCCAATTCGCGAGTGAACATCTCATCGCTCCGTTATTCTAAAATCGGGCCCAACTATGTAGGTAAGTTTTTTCATAGCTACGATTTCTGAGAACGTGTCAGTCGACTTTATTATTAAAATGATAGACTGATTTTGGGTCATCCACGACGTAGATTTGCGTTTGTTAAAGTTGCCAATTGGTCATCTGTCTATTTTACTGTCACATGTTCCTATTGTAAAGAATTGCGCATTACATCCAATTTATAATCAATAATAATAATGGTAGATTACAAAATGCCTACTCTATTCAATCTTACTTCTCAATAAATCTTATTTACCATTTTAAAATCATTAAGTAATTGTTAAATCAAATTGTAATTGTTATTTAAGATTATAAAAGCTTACAGTGTTAGTGGGCCTGTGTAAGGCTACAACAGGTGTCTAAGAAAGCGGTAACTCCTTATAATTAGCGGTCGCTAAACGACTGCCGCCAACCTCTCCATTAAAACATCATCAAACATGTAAGCCTGTCCACAGCGAGTAGACACGTTTTCTATTTAATGTCTTATATGTCGTTAAATTGTTAAAATAAAAAGACGTCTTGAATCTACAAAAGCAATAATAATTGTATTCGAAAAGAAAATTTTGAGACACTTAACAGAAAACTGAAAGGTGCGTTCTTACATCCGTTGGAAACGCGGCCAAACGCTTGTTTATAAATGATAAAAACATGTTCATACAATAAATAAACATAAACCCGTGTAATAAAATAAAAAAGTACATAAAAAGACAATTTAACCTCTTCTTACATTGAGTATCGACAACTCGATGTTAAACATTACACCGAAGT